TTCGAGAGACTCTACAGCAATAATCGGACATCTTGTATATAACTTGGTGTATGAATGTTCTTCTTCAGTGTTGACTATTTTTGCTGATTCCTATTCTGCTGGTATTCTTGCTGTTGCATTTGAAACAAATACAATACATAGAATTATACATATATATATATAAATACCGGGGTACACACACACACACACACACACGTGTCATCTTGTTTCTTTTTGTATAAACCTAATTTGTAATGCTACAAAAAAACACATTTTGTGTGTTGGCATACTTTATTATTGTATTGTTTTTTTCTTCCCCAGTGATAATGAAGAGACAAAAGTTTATACAAAAACTGCATAAATCGTTGTTCTTGTCGACGTATTCTTGCTCGAGTACTTCTTGGTCTTCGAACTGGAAACAATTCTAATATATATATATATATATATATATACATTTAGTTATCTAGTAATATCTACGTTTATTCACTTACCAAAAGTATTGTTATTATGTTTGCTTGCAGATGTGGAAGTTGCTAGAAGTAAAAATATACATTAATAAATTAATATATGTTATATATGTATAAAACAAATAAAAGATACTTTTTTTGTTTATAACTATTTCCATTCGCTTACCAGTAGCATTACTAGCATTCAAGGAACTTGAAGAAAAAATATGTGGAGATCGTACGACAGTAGGTGATGTACAAGATGTTACAACACACACACGCACACACACACATATATATATATGTATATATATATATATATATGTATATACATACGTATATATATTTATATGTATATGTATATGGAACGTATATTTACGTCTCATATCACCTAAGATAAGCGTTTGTACAAAAATTAGAAAAACCCAAAAAATGTTTGAAGGCTTAAAATTTTTGTTTTTGTTTGTAGTTTACAAATAACCGTGACCTTTTGAAAAGTTCAAAACGACTGTTCCAATATAACTTTTCAAATAAATAAAAATAAAAAAAAAAAATAAAACAATTTGAAAACAATTCATAGATCAGGTAGTCCAAATTGTTTGGAGTTTTTCATAAAAATCAGTATTTGAGGGTTTTTTAGCTCAGTCATAATTCACAGTCAAATTTTCAAAATTCAAAGTGATGAGTCCAATATGGCTACTGTACTGAATGAAGAATTGGAACACTTCTTAATTATGTAATCCAAATTTAATTTTTTCCCCATAAAAATTAATATGTTAGAGTTTTTTAGGATGTATTTTTATCACAATTTATAGATTCTGAAAAAAATTTATGAATAATTCAAAAATACATTGTATCCAAGATCACAAAGTTTTACGAATTTTAGATATATTTTCCAATTATTTATAAATTTTTTTTCACAATCTATAAATTTTGAAAATACATCTAAGAAAACTCTCTCATACTTATTTTTATGGGAAAAAAATTAAGTTCGGATTACATGATTAAAAAGCGTTCCAGTCAGTTTTTCATTCAGTACAGCCGCTATATTAGATCCGTCAGATTTTGGAAATCTGACTGTAGAATATTCATAACTGAGCTGAAAAACTCTTAAATATCGATTTTTATGAAAAAATCGAAGCAATTTTGAATTACCTGATCCATAAATCAAGTGTTTTTAATCATTTTTATATCTACTCTAGACACCATATTGGAGAGACTGTTTTGAATTTTTCAAAAAACCACATTTTTCTTAAACTCCACATAAAAACAAAAATCTTAAGCTTTTAAATATCTTATTTTGTCCTTCTGAATTTTGTACAGACGCTTGTCTTAGTTGACGTGGAACGTCTCATATATATATACAGGGTGTGTGATGATCATAATACTGTTTGTAGGCAGGTAGGAGCGGTTATTTAGAATCAAAAGGTTCTTTACCATTTTACGAAATTTGCAATAATTACCGAGGTCTTAATAAAGATCTGCACATGAGCGTGCAGCAACGTGCAAAATGACAGCTCGGAGCTGTCATTTGTTCGCACGCTCGTACGCCGTACCAACGGAATGACAGGAAATAATAAACAACATATAATATACATAAAAAATCAATAACTAACGACGACTAACTAATGTGACGCAAAACTATGAACTTTGTAAGTTTTTAAAACTTGAAATGAATAAGTCTAATGTCATGATAAGTTAAAAATGAGTTCTTTTATACTTTTGTAATTAGTTATTTAAAACAATAATATTGTATTAGTTTGTTATTAGTTAATAAAACAATACTATTTTAGTAATAATACAGTAATAAGTAAATACCTAATTACAAAAGTATTAAAAAACTCATTTTTAATTTATTTTGACATAAGACTTATTTTAAGTAAAAAAATACAAAGTTCATATCTTCACGTCACATTAGTTAGTCATTCTTAGTTACTAATTTTTCATGTATATTATATGCTGTTTATTACTTCCTCCCATTCCGTTGCTACGGCGTACGAGCGTGTAAAAAAATGATTTTCCGAGTTGTCATTTTGCACGTGACTACACGCTCATTCGCTGATCTTTATTTCTTAAGTTCTCGTTAACTATTGCGAACCTCGCAAAATAGTAAAGGACTTTTTGACTCTAAATAACTCTTTCTACCTGCCTACAAACAATAATATGATCATCAGACACCCTACACACACACACACACACACACACACACACATATATATATATATATATATATATATATATTAGGTGCGCAACTAAGTTCTCGCTGTTTTTTTTTTAATACAACTTTATTGTGAAAAAATGGTTACAAATAAATCATTCAAAATATTGCCCATCGGTAGCTACAACTTTTTCCCAATTTTCTGGCAGAGCTCGAATACCGTTACGATAAAAGTGTTCGTCTTTTGAGGCTTACCACGAATCAAGCCACTTTTTGATGTCTTCATATGAGCGGAACTGCTGCTCAGCCAGATCATGTGCCATCGAACGGAACAAGTAATAATCGGACGCCGCAATATCTGGAGAATATGGCGGGTGGGGTAGGACTTCCCATTTGAGCGTTTCCACGTAGGTTTTAACGGGTTTGGCAATATGAGGCCGAGCGTTGTCATGCAGTAGAATCACTTTTTTGTGCCTCTGCTCGTATTGTGGCCGTTTTTCATGCAGTGCTTGGCTCAGTCGCATTAATTGAATTCGATACCGTTCCCCAGTGATGGTTTTGTTTGGTTTCAACAGCTCATAATACATAACACCGACCTGGTCCCACCAAATACACAGCATAACCTTCCCAGCGTGAATATTCGGCCGAGCCGACGACGTAGAAGCATGACCGGGCAGTTCCCATGACTTTCTTTCCTTTGGGTTGCTGTAATGAATCTATTTTTCATCACCCGTCACGATGTGATAAAGAAAACCCTTCTTTTTTTGCCGCTGGAGTTGTTCACAGGCAAAACACCGACGCTCAACCAGTGTTGCTAGATCAGGCCGGCCAGCACCAAGAGCACCGAGGTGGTAGGGAGCACGCACACAGCGAGAACCGCCGTCCGTGTGCGTGACGTCACGCTCGGCTGTTCGGCTCGTGAAAAAGCGCAGACATACTATGTTCTGCCTCGCTTCCACCAAGCACGCTACGCGAGCAAGACATTGAGGCTCGAAAGCAATGTTTCGTTGCGCGCTTATAGCGTATGACAATACGACAACGCAAAATGCTTTTCCATGATTTACAATCTTGGAAAAAATAGATAATATTATTAATAAGGATGAGTTAAACATCTCAAAATGCATTTATTATTACAGTTTTATTAATTCTTATTAAAAATTAACTGCAATACTTTTAAAGTTTTTAGATTATTTGTAGAATTTTGAAAAATATTAAATATATATATAAACTATAGAATTAGTATTCATAATTTTTCTATATTTTTAATTTGTAAATTACACGAAAAGAATCTACATTTTACAGATGCATAATTCTAAAGTATTTAATTCATATGAATATAATGTATTAATTAATTGAATTTCGTATAATATGAATTAAATATTTTGAGATTATATGTCTGAAAAATGTAGATTTTCTCTCTCTTGTCATAATTTACAAAACAAAAATATATAAAAAAAAGAACACTAATAACTTTCAATATTCAAAAAACTTTTGAATTCTTTTAGTTACCTTATATGTAATAATTCCTAAAAAAATATAATGCATCTTGAAATGTTTTAC